CAAAACTGCCTATATAAACCATTCTATATATGTATATTTTTCAAATGTATGTTATTCTTTTCTTTAGATATACCATAATTTATTGATCAATTTGCTTATTGATGGACATTTGGTGGGGTTTTTTTAGTATTTGCTTATTACAAACAATACTGTAATGAACTAATTTTCACATGTTTGTGTATATTTATGAACATACTTATAGATCAAATAGCTCAACTTGTAATAAAATAGTAAGTGCATTTTTATGTCTTCCAATAGTATATAAATATTACTTATTTTGTATACCTTCACACAATACTTACTGTAGATCTCCCTTACCTCTGGGTATAGCTGAGTTTGAGCTAATTTTCATGAGTGCTCAGTGTGAGGAGTGACAGTAGGGTGTGACGATAATTAGAAATGAAGCGGTAACATGAAAAGTATCCTAAACAAGTTGGGATATGTAGTGGGTTTGGTTATTATTATTTTAGAGATGTTTTAAGAATTAGACATTTACATATATCCTTCAAAATAACATCTTGAAAGGCTGTTCTCTCACGCTAAGGATACTGCCAATATTCCAGCTATCTTTGTAGTTCTGCTTTGGGTATGGTCTTCAGAATCAGCACCCCCTTATTTTTTACCTCTTGGTGGTAACAACTGTCTCTTAATAATGGGTTTTATTTTTCTGATAGCCAGAGCATTCACAACCAGTCCTCTTGGAAATAAAATTGATTGTCAAGCAAGATAAAACATTTTTGGTTAAAAATAAAGGGTACCTTGGTGATGGGTGGTAACTAGACTCTTGATGGTGATCACTTTATAGTATATGTCGAATTATAATATTGTACACCTGGACCACATGTCATATACCAGTTTTACCACAATGATATAGTGTGCCACCCTAACTGGTTTGGCTCAGTGGATAGAGCATTGGCCTGTGGACTGAAAGGTCCCAGGTTCGATTCCGGTCAAGGGCATGTATCTTGGTTGTGGGCACATCCCCAGTAGGAGGTGTGCAGGAGGCAGCTGATCGATGTTTCTCTCTCATCAATGTTTCTACCTCTCTATCCCTCTCCATTCCTCTCTGTAAAAAATCAATAAGATATATTCTTTAAAAAAGAAATAGTGTACCTTAAAATAATGTGTGTGTATATATATGTGTGAGAGATAAACTGGACCAGAAGGATGTTTCCAGTGAGGAATTCAAATATGGTTCTCACCAGAACATGTGAACATTTTCCCAAGGTCACAGCTCTGAAGGACAACTTGCATTTGAATGCAGACACTGTGGTATGTTTGTTTTTAAAGACTGATTATTTTATAGCTACCATTCATAAAGCCTGTGGTCATAAAACACCTCCCTCTGTCTTGGAGGCAGACCACACTTGTGTAAATAATGGTGTCAGGTTCTAACTCGGCTAAGACCACTCTGGCCCTAACAGTGGCTGGACTCCACTCTCTACCCGAGTAGCAAGGACCACTTCTATTCCCACATCACAGAGATGACCTCTAGCTTACATAGCAAAATAGACAAGGAAATTTTGTTTCAAAAGAATAAATATCATTAAAGGATGAGAAGGTCCTAAAAATAAAAACAGCTTAAAAGATAGAAATAAGCATACTATTGGTTTGGGGACATTTTTACTCATTATAAAGGGCTTTACATTTAAAAAGAAAGAAAGGCAACAACTCTGTCTTAATTCCACATCCGCCACTTGCCGGGATGACCACGCCTGGCTGCTCTGCCTCCACAGCCTTACTTTGTCACAATTCAGTTCCAGCTGACTTCACGGTCCTCTTTGTCACCTTCCAGTCACAGCCCCCACGCCAGTTCCTTTTTTAGAAGCTCCTAATCTCTTACCATTTAGTATTCTCTGCCTACTGCCTCCATGTTTTGTCTTCCCATTCCCTTCTTAATTCCCTGAATTTCAGGATTATGGGTTTCTGGGGGGAGGGGACGGGGGGGGGGGGGGGGCCGGAGACTACACTTTAAGTCAGACAGGGATGGATTCAAATCTTGGCTTTTAGTTGTGACCTCAGAAAATGTCTTGAACCCTTCCAAGTTAAAAAATACACATATGATAGGTTGTTCTCAAGTACATAATGTTCATTTTAAAAAGAAATTATTACATTAAAAGATGTATATAAATTTGGTGTATTTTTGTATGCACATGATACATATATAAGTTTTAGGAAATGAGAATATAAAATGTATTGGTCTGAAAGCGGCTTTACAACATTACCAGTAATCCAGCCTCTGCCTCCACATCTATCTACAGTGACCAAGAGCTGCATGATTGTGAAAGTGGTCCTTTCTGTCACTGTCGCTGATACTGGAAGGGTCTTCTCCATTTTGCTTTTAATCCTTTCTCCCCCCACCCCACCCCCCACTCGCACCATGTGCCCTACCTTGTCCCCTAGAGCAACACAGGCAAATCTAATCCCTTTGTCACATGGAAGCCCTAAAATATTAAAAGTAAGCCTTCATAGCTCTCTGACTCTTTTCTTCTCCAAACTAAGATGCTTGGGGTTTTGGTTTTGGTTTTTTCCATTTCTTATCCAACATTGTATCTGGGTCCTTGGTCATTCTAAGCATAGCACCTGTCAGCTCTTGAGCCTCTCCCACCCCCGGACACCGCTCTCAGCTCCATATCTCACCTGAAACCCTCAGTGCAAACTCATCTCGCTTCCCCAGCTCCTGCTGGCCTTGACTGTTTTCATTTCTCTGCTCAGCTAGGCTGCAAAAGACATGTCTCATATTTCTTTTGAACAAACCACCTCTCCACTCTTCACCTCTGCATCATCACCCCTGTAGGAAAGTGTCTCAAAGCAACTTTAAATTAGTTTGGTTGACTTTAGCAGTTATTGCCTCTTTTCATGTAACCAATACATTTTATGTGCATTATTTCAATCTTTAAAACATTCTCATCCTAATATGTAAAAGTCCAGGGTTGTAAAGACCAATCACAACCGAATGCTGACCAACCCGGAAGTCTTTCAGTCAGGGCTGGGTTGCCGGGGCGACCGAGCACTGACTGCCCAGGGGGCTGAGACCCAGAGAGAGGCAGGGTCTGATTTGCAGCCTCAGTGGCAGCCTTTGATCGGTACTTGCCTCTCTCTTTCTCTTCTTATTTCTTTCTGAGCTTAGCCAGCAGCAGGGCTTTTCCTTCTCTCCCAGCCACTGCAGGGGCTGCTGTTCAGCACTGCCTCTCTGATCAGGCCCAGAGATAGGCCTGGAGATGCTGGCTGGCATAGGAACCGACCAATCAGAACCAAATGTGGGTAGTGTGAAGAACCAATGGCTGCCTAGGAGGCAGAGCTTTTGACATTGATTGGCATAGAAACTGACCAATCAGAACCAAATGTGGTTGTGGGGAACCAATGGCTGCCTAGGAGGCAGAGCTTCTGACACTGAGTGGCATTGAAACCGACCAATCAGAACCAAATGTGGGTGCTGTGGAGAGCCAATGGATGCTTAGGAGGCAGAGCTTCTGATGCTGACTGGCATAGACACCAACTAATCAGAACCAAATGTGGGTGCTGTGGGGAGCCAATGGCTGCCTAGGAGGCTGAATTTTATATGTTGATTGGCATAGGAACTGACCAATCAGAACCAAATGTGGGTGCTGTGAAGAACTAATGGCTGCCTAGGAGGCAGAGCTTCTGACGCTGACTGGCATTGAAACCGACCAATCAGAACCAAATTGGCCAGCAGGGGAGGGCAGTTGGGGGTGATCAGGCTGGCAGGCAGGTGAGCAGTTTGAAGCCAGTTGTCCCTGATTGTGAGAGAGATGTCCCACAGGGATCGGGCCTAAACTGGCAGTCAGACATCTCCCAAGGGGTCCCCAGTTGGAGAGGGTGCAGGCTGGGCTGAGGGAACCCCTCCTCCATGCACAAATTTCATGCACCCAGCCTCTTAATCTATACTAATAAAAGGGTAATATGCTAATTAGACCAGACATCTTCGGGACATCCATCTGGACATCCTTCTGGACAAAGCCATGGTGGCGAGGGCAGAGGCAGAGGCAGTTAGAGGCAATTAGGTTGGCAGGGGAAGGCAGTTGGACATCCCCTGAGGGGTCCCGGATTGGAGAGGGTGCAGGCCGGGCTGAGGGGGACCACACCCCCCCCCCCAATGCACGCGGGCCTCTAGTATCAAAATAAACTGATGAATAAAATAGATGCAGAGACACAGAAGCATGGAACAGACTGATGAATCTCAGAGGGAAGGGGGGTTAGGGCACAGGCAGGAAGGAATTAACCAAAGAACTTAAATGCATATAGACATACCCCATGGACACAGACCATAGTTCTCTGATGGCCTGGGGAGGGGGTGGGGCTGGGGAGGAGGGGGGTGTTAATGGGGGAAGTAAGGGGGACATCTGTAATACTTTCAACAATAAAGATACATTTTAAAAAAACATTCTCATAAGCTAACTAATAAATAAGTCAAAATGTATTATAAAGTGAAAACAGAAAGGGTCAAACATAAAAGAGAACAATATTCATCTTCTGAGCCCAGCTTTATTTCTCAAAGTATATGTGTGTGTGTGTGTGTGTGTGTGTGTGTGTGTGTGTGTGTATGGCATCATTGTCAAAAAGATTATGCTGGAGTCAGACTGCTAAGGTCCAAATCCCAGCCACTTGCCACCGTGTGACCTCTCTGTGTTTCTGCTTCATCTGTAAGATGGGGATGACAGTAACCACCTCATGGTTGGTCTAAAGATTACATGGGTTTCTCCTAACACATGGAAAGTGCCTAGATCAGTAGTTGGCACTAGGCAAGCACTATATTTGCTGCTACGATGATAATGGAGATAATGATAATGGGTTTGGGAAAATCACTTTTTGTCTTTCTGGGTATCAGTTTCCAAACCTGTAAAGTGAGAAGGAAGGGATAGTGTTGATACTAGTGAGAGTAATACCATACAATCCTAGATCCCTTGACAATTTACAAATCACTTCCATATGCAGTACTTCATTGGGAAACATGCTTCATGCCCTCAGCTCACCTGATTTGCTGGAACAGCTGGTCAATGTGCTGCAAGGTGTAAATACTGACTCTGGCCTCTGGCCTCCATTATAGCAGAAAGCATCAAAGGCCTCGCATCGCTGATGCCTCCTCCAGTGACTGACTTGCTATGTGTGACATACTTTAGAACTGTAAAAGTTGGACTCCCCCAAATGCACTGGGAGACTGGGAAGAAAGAGACAAGGAAATAGTAAAACAAAGGCATTCATATTTATTGAGCATTTATAATATAGATGATTATAATGTCAATCGCACTGAGTCTTCATAACAATTTCCATGGAAGGTTTTATTGCCATATTTCTTTGATAATTTCCACATAGAGATTCAATACTAGGTCACAAAGATAGTAATTTTAAACCAGGATGAAAGTCTGACTGAGCCCAAAGCTTGAGCTGATGCTAAAGTTTCATGCTATCTCACTGAGATTTTCAATCGACTAAGATTAGATGTAGGTTAGCTCTTTAACTCCTCTGCTAAATTTCAAGCCCCGAAGAGCTCTGCTTGATGAATGGTACCAAGAACATAATGAAGGGAATTTATTTTATTATGAACAACTAGCCTATCGATGGCGATATCTTTCAATAATGACTGACTTAGTCTGGCAGTCCTAGCAAAGGCTTTAATGCAAAATGTCACTGTATTTAAAAGGCACTTTGAAACAGCTATCTTTACAAGTCCACCTGATAAGCAATTGAGATGACTGCTGAGTAATTATATTCCTTCCATGTTCACAGTACAGCAGAGAACAAATATCTGGGGGGGGGGGGGGGAAGATCATCATTTCATATAACAAGTATTGTCAACAAATAAGTTCATGACACTTTTTTAATCCTTGTTCTTCCTCATTTATTTCCCACCAGCATACTTGTCAGCTCCCTGATTTGATGGGTGATAGCCCTCAGGGCACATGAGGGTGAAGTCAGCATAATATACATTTCTGCACAGTCTTGAGTCAATCAACTGGAAATACAAGGAAGTTCAAAGGAAGCAGCATGAGCATGAGGAAGCAATGAAACCATGGTTTTGAAATCTTGGAGACTTAAATTCGAAAACATAGGTTGAATAAACAAATCACAATTCCATGTCAATACAATCTACAACATCTTCATTGATATTTTCATAAATAGTGACTAGACACCAGGCAAGGTTCACTATATATTACTGCACTCAGGCCTCACAATAATACTACGCAATAGGCACAGTGATTTATATCCATATTTAACAAGGAAACTGAGGCACAGCAAAGGAATATAATTTCCCCTCTGTTGTAGAGAAACACATTGGTAACATGAGGGTTCATATCTCAGTAGCCTGACATTCTCACAAGTGCCCACCCTTTCTCAAAGCAAATTTCTGATTGCCTCTGGAAGATGATCATATATGCATCAGATATGATCCCTAAAAGATGAACTTGTTTAGTTTAATAGTTTTCATGAGATTTCCAAATCCATTTGTACAATCCTGCAGTAAGCAGTTGGTTGATAAAAATGAACACAAAGATCTGTATGCACTAAAAAGTCAAAGCCAATGCATTTGCATGAACTTCCTCGGTAGAGTCACTTCATTTACCTACTAGATCACAGACCACACTTGGGTCAGAATGACACTGTGAATCTTGGGTATGATTGGAACTAACTCGTGGTGAATGTACCTGAAGGGTTGAATTTTTTTTTCTTACTATTATTTTCCCTCTACGTCACTAACAGTGACCTGTGTAGCTGTTAGAAAGGAAGGCTAAGGGGGAAATTGTCAGCCTACAGAACTACTTATCACTGGTTTGTTTCAGAGTCTAGAGCAGTGGTTCTCAACCTTCCTAATGCTGCAACCCTTTAATACAGTTGCTCATGTTGTGGTGACCCTCAATTTCATTGTTACAAATTGAACATAATTAAAGCACAGTGATTAATCACAAAAACAATATGTAATTATATATGTGTTTTCCAGTGATCTTAGGCGACCCCTGTGAAAGGGTCGTTCAACCCCCAAAGGGGTCGCGACCCACAGGTTGAGAACCACTGGTCTAGAGTATACAAACCTTCTCCTTGTTACTTCACAAAGGTCCTTATCCTTCCAGAAAGTTTCTCTTTCCAAGGCCAAGGACTGATAAGGAATGAGGACCAAACAGCAGGAGACTTGTTATCTCAAGTGGCTTGTTGACATCCCTAAGATTTTTCAGACTGGGTAACACCCATTTAGCTCATTATGCCCCTCATAGATAGCTATAATGTTCTTTAAGAACTTTCTGTGGAACTGAAGTGGGATAGGGAACACACTATAATATACACTGAGTGGCCAGATTATTATGACCACCCCATCAGTACAATGAAGTGAATTAGTTATGCAAATAATAATAATAAAACCTTGAGAGTATTTGCTTAGGAAGTTTTCAATATTCAGTATTTTTGGAAGTGTTAATGAAGTACTGATGGGGTGGTCATAATAATCTGGCCACTCAGTGTATGTCTCTCTATAACCCTCTTTCTCTCTTTCTCTCTCTCTCTCTCTCTCTCTCTCTCTCTCTCTCTCTCTTTCTCTCTTCATTCTCAAGTTTAATGAAACTCAACCTATGTCACAAAAGGAATACCCCATTTCAGAAGCTAATTAGAGGTGGCCCAGAAATACAACTGAAAGGCAAAGGAGGGTAAACAACTAGTGACAGGGAGCTAGAAGACCCCATCCTGGGCAACGCTCCCTTCTGTTCCAAACCTCTGCTGCAGGCGTGATGAATGGAGGATGGCATCGCCCTGGGAGTCAGAAGGTCCCGATCCAAGTACCACTAACCTGCAGTCTTGAGCAAGCCCCTTTTCCTGCTGAGGCCCCAGCTGTCTCACTGTCACAGAGGCTTGGGAGGAACTGATGTGATCTTTTTAAGGCAGACATGATCTAGGTCACTACAGAGGCCCGTTTCAAATGCCAATTGTGAGTTCATTTTTCAGAGGTCTTGCCTCTCATCTGCTTCTCAATCTGACCAGGAGCTGCTCCTTGATCCTTGAACCATTTTCCAAGCCCAGAAGAGATCAAAATCTGATGTTGTTTTAAGTGTGACCCCAGTCATTCTTATTAATAAAATCCCTTCCTGTTTCTCTACAGTGAGAAAGGAGGACGGAAGCAAGGTGCAAGGGGAGTGGAGGGGGCCACACCAAGCAAGGACCTCAGCGGGGACTGGAAGAGCTCTCTCCAGCTGAGTCAGTCCCGTGTTTTTTCCTGTTAAATGATTCACATGCTGAGGCAAATGGGTCCAAAATGCAAAAACTCTTTCCTGAGCTTCCAGATGAGTTGATGGTTTTTGTTGTTGTTTTCCAATTCCACTTCTCTTTTCTTGGGAACATGAGTGCAATGTTTTCCATTCCAGGTGGAGGTTTCCTCCACCTCATTTAAATGCCCTGGGGAGGAGGGGTTATCATATCAAGGAAACCCTGGCTATTTTAAGTGTTATTCATATTCCTTAAACTTCCTTGTGTTTTCTACTCAAGTAGGTTGAGTATATTATAAATAAACAAAATTTCATAATATATTATCCACAATAAAGTCTGAGCTCTTTAGAAATCAAGCTCTAGATAGGTGAATTTCCACATGTCTTAAAAGGCTTATTGCTGTAAACATAAAACACTTTTTTCAATGACTTTAAGTGGGAATCTCTTCTGGAATATATAAGATATATACCATGTTTCTTCATAATAAAATATAACATTTCATTGATTATTAGAAGTCATTATCCTTACATCCTTTTAACAATCCTCTGTTTTGTCCTCCTCTCTTGTTTAAGTGAGGTCAATTTTAGTTGAGGTCCTTCTTCCATGTTTTGCTTAATCTTCATGCATATCCATAGCCACAATATCCTCTTTAGTCAAGTTATTCAGAAAAAAGATGGTTTACTCTTTGGCTTAATCTGACTAGTGGTAAAATTCCCCATCTTAAGGCCTTCTAGTAATTTCTCACTGTAGTTAGAAGATTAGCCAAACTCCTCTCTATTACCTACAGAGCCCTATATGGTCTAGCTAGCCCCTGCCTTTTCTCCAACTACTCAACCTTCATCCACTGTGGTGCACACACTAGCTTTCTCTGTGTTCCTCCAAAGAGCCAAGTTGTCTCAGGTCCTTTGCACTTACCATTGCTACTTCCTGAAAGATTCTTCCCTCATTTTCACCTGACTGCCTCTTTCTCCCTGGGAGTCAGAAGGTCCTGATCCAAGTACCACTCACCCGCAGTCTTGGGCAAGCCCCTTTTCCTGCTGAGGCCCCTTATTTGGGTCTAAGGCCAAATGTCAAGTCCACAGAGAGGCCATCAATGTCTTCTACACCAAGCAGGCTATAACACCTTTCTTGCTTTATTCCTATCCCAGAAATTAAAGCACTATTGGAATGCTTTAATTTGTATTCTTATTTATTCATTTGTATTGATATCCTGTCTTCCTCACAGAAATATCACATTTTGAGGAATAGCTCCCAGCACATAGAAGGCACTCAATAAATACTCTTGAAGAAATAAACCCTGGCTGGCTCATCTCCACACCTCCTGAAAGCTAATCTCTGTCTATAACGCAGAGTTCTGCTTTCAGTCTTACTACACATTGGGAAATCTAATCTAAATAATCAATTACATCCCAGCCTGTACGGCTCAGAGGTTGAGCATTGGACCATGAACCAGGAGGTCATGGTTCGATTCCCAGTCAGGGCACATGTCCCGGTTGTGAACTCGATCCCCAGTTGTGGGCATGCAGGAGACAGCCCATCGATGTGATTGATGTTTCTCTCTCATCAGTGTTTTCATCTCTCTATCCCTCTTCCTTCCTCTCTCTAAAATCAATAAAATATATTTTAAAATAATAATAATCAATTACATAATATCCTAAGATCGCTGTCAAAACATTAAGAAGCTGGCAATGTCCAATGTCATTCGATCCAACTTTGGAAAGAGACAAAAGAGCTAAGAGAATGTTTGGACACACTCTAATTTCTTGGATAGTTCAACAAGATATAACAAACAGCTTAAAATAGTTAATAATAATACAAGGAGATGTAAACATAAGTATAAAGTGGCTCCAAAAAACAATATATGTTTGAAGTCTCATAATTTATTTTTAAAATCCAGATGAATTTTATGTTCTAACTCTATTTCTCTCTCCATAAGAAAGAGAGTTAGAACATAAAATTCACCTGGATTTTAAAAATAAATTATGAGACTTCAAACATATATTGTTTTTTGGAGAAAGAGTTAGAACATAAAATTCATCTGGATTTTAAAAATAAATTATGAGACTTCAAACATATATTGTTTTGGGGGGCCACTATATATATATATATATATATATATATATATATATATATATATCCTATATAATAAAAAGCTAATATGCAAATGGTCATCATGCCCTCACACCATAACGGCTCAGACACTCAACACTGGGGATTGAGGAATGGAGACCAGCCAGGCACAAATGAGCTCGAGAGAGAGGAATGGGAACCAGCCAGGCTGCGGCTTCAGGAGAGGGACAAGCTGCCCACTCTGTGATCCTAGGCGCCAGCAGCTGGGGCTGCGGCCCAGGAGAGGGACAAGCTGCTCGCCCCACGGTCCTGGGCACCTGCGGCTGTGACCCGAGCAAAGCCACCTGCCCACGGTCCCCTGTGGCTGTGGCCAGCCAGAGGAGGGAATCCTGGGTCCCAGGTGCAGGATGAGGCAGAGGAGATTAAGGGCAATCAGGCCAGCAGAGGAGCAGTTAGGGGTGATCAGGCCGGTAGGGGAGCAGTTAGGGGTGATCAGGCAGGCAGAGGTGGTTAGAGGTGATCAGGCAGGCAGGCAGAGGGGTTGGGGCAATCAGGCAGGCAGGCAGGTGAGTGGTTAGGAGCCAGCGGTCCTGAATTGTGAGAGGCAGTCAGACATCCCTCGAGGGGTCCCAGATTGGAGAGGGTGCAGGCAGGGCTGAGGGACGCCCCCTCCCATGCACAAATTTCATGCAAATATACATATTTGTTTAATATAAAAGAAATTTCCCCTCAAATTTTTGGGGGGAATGTACCCTCCAAGAAGTTGTGTCCTGTTTATCCTAGAAAACCACCAAGAATTCCCCCAAGTACATGTGCTCCAAGCTGATAAACACCTAGAAACGATTATGGAGGAAACTTGAAGGGAGCACAATCCCCACCCACCCCTTGCTGCCTTGTCCACTTGCCCTCATCTTCATCCCAGGGAGGAAGAGCTCTGGAACAAAGACACCTAAGTGAACCAGGAGTCCCAAGGAATGCGGAGTTTTGAGACGGAAAACAAGGTTAAAAGTTCTATTGTTCTGTATCATTCTCTTTTCAGACATCTCTCTCTTCTAAATCATTTCATTGCTTTCCTTCCAGGTGCTTGGTGAGGTAAGAGGTGCATTTCGAGTCCAAACCTTGGTTCATAGTAATGAAGTTTCCTTTGATATATTTCTTCAGTTAAAAATCTCTAATCACTATTGGTGGGCTCATTGAGGATTGGAGGTTCAAGATCCAGGCCATCATGCATAAATTATAATAATAATACTTAGAGAGAGAAGACAGAAGAAGCAGACAAGCTGGTAATGGTGAATTGAGTTGATTAGTAAAAGTCTTTTAAAATAAAATGTGATGAATGGAAAATATTCAGTCAGAGATGCCACATGAATTTGAATAATCAGCCTTTTCGTGACCTAACAGTTGAAGGCATGAAAGAGAAGGCCATTATCTCATGAATGTACCAAAAAAGCAGATTACTGAGATAGTAATTATGGTGGCTCCTGCGGGAAGCATCCTAGACTGATGGTCCCGGCTGCAGCCCTCTGAAATTCGTCATCACATTTGTTCTGAAGCCATGCTTTCTGTAGCTGCCGCAGCCATGACTAAGCACGGCAGGGCTGCTGAGACAGGCCCACTCCTGGAAGATGCAGGATTACTCTGACGGGCAACTTTGGCTTAAGGACTTCCAATTAACCTTGCTAAAACTTTCTTCCTTGCTTTCCTTCTTTCCCTCCTTCACAGGAAACAGTTTTGCAGAGTGATCGGATGGCCCTCCCAGCCTCCTCCAGCTTTCTCTCCATTTTCTCCCACAAAGTTTTCCTCCACAAATCTCATGCACATCTAACTTCCTCTGCTTCTCAGAGGGCCTGAACTAACACAAGCAAGGAGCTATTTGAGGAATGGACAAGAGGAATTAGGCCATTTACTGCAGTTAGGGTAGTTTGCAGTGGTTCTCAACCTTGGCTGCACATTAGAATCACCTGGGAATCTTTTTAAAATCCTGATTTCTGGGCCTCATCCTCCAGCAATTCTGTTTCTTTGTTATAACAAAGAAATCCCAGGTGATTCTAATGTGCAGCCAAGGTTGAGAACCACTGGTTTAGAGTAAGACTAAGAAGATTAATGGGTGATCATAAAAAGACCAGATTTAAGAGGGAGCTTTCTGAGAATAAGTAGCAGGTAACACAAGAGGTTGCGATGGTGGGGATGGAGGTAACAGTAATCAGAGTTTGAAGTTAATTATTTGCAGACTTGATGCTAATTAAGCCTAAAGCTCAATTAGAGAATCTGAAGAGATTCCGTTGTTTTTGGCAACAGCATAGTTTAGTTGATATATGTGGGTGGAGCCCTGTTAAGAGGACTATATATTTTTACTTGAACTCTATACAGTCCTTTTAAGAGAACTCTATAAAATGTTTTATTGGCTTTGAGGTGTTTTGCTTGCAGTTTTTAGGTTTGTGATTTTAAGGTTTTGCATAATTAGAAGTAAATAATAAAGTTAATTATTTGTATCAGATATCAGCATTTTCAGCCTATAGTACTGTATGAAAAAACTTACATTTTTATATTCTTTCAAAGTCTCCATGTGTGAAGCTCTGTATCCCCAATGAAATTCAGTAATGTCTGTAAAACTGAATTGGAAATTGTTTAGCATGTGCTAGTTCACTGAAACCTAACATGGATCCTGTGAGGTAAGGAGGGCAGGTAGCCTTAAAGCTCACTTTTACCAAAGATCAAACTGAGGCTCAGGGGGGCTAAATAGCTAACACATAGTCAAATCCAACCCAGGTGCAAGGTTGCAGTAGGCAGAATTTCTAGGAATGACTCCTAAGAGTTCATAACCTAATCCCAGTGATGTGTGAATGTGATGAAATGTCATTTATTCCCATGATTCTGCTATGTTATATGGTGTAGTTGACCTTATTAAAAGATTATTCAGGTGAATCTAATCCAATTACATGGAGCCCTTAAAAGCTCCCTCTGCCAGTGATCAAAGAGAAGAAAAAAAGTCAGAGAGAAAGATGGCAGAAGGGAAAGTTAGAGAGTCGAAGCATGAGAAGGATTCGAGGTACTAACTCTGGCTTGAAGATGGAAGGGGCCACGTGGAAGGCGTGAGAAGGAAATGAATTCTTCTAACAACCAGTGAGCTTAGAAAGAGACCTAAGCTCTGGGTGAGAACTGCAGCCCCAGCTCTTACCTAGATTTTGACCTTGTGAGATTCTAAGCAGAGAACCGAGCTGACCTACACTGTGCCCAGAAACTGTGGGATAATAAATGGGCATTATTTTAAGCCACTATGTTTGTATTGATTTTAAACAGTGACAAAAAAACAAAAAACAAAAAAACTAATACATGGATTTTCTAGTTCCATCACTATTTTCACCATACCACCCTACTCTTAACTAATGCCAATAAAAATAATCAACAGTGAACTGAAAAGGCACAGTACTAACCTTATAATTTTGCTCGCTTAATTTTGATTAGAAGTCTAGCTTTCTAAGATTTATTTTAGGCCTGACCTCATTTCCTTTAGTTCTCAGCCTGTGGACTTGAACTCATTTTCAAGACAGACTCTCATTTCCTCGTCCTAATTTGAAAATAATTCAGGTAACATATAAATAAGAAGAAAATATTATAATATCCTAAGAAAATATTATAAGATTAAAACTTTTGTCATAGTTTGGCAAAGTTTTAAAACTCTTACAAAATACTGAAAATATCATGGGGATTGTTTGAACACATATAGTGAAACACTGTTGTTTTATCTATCCATTGTAACTCCTTTAGTAAACTTTACTCACAATCTTTTGGGAATGCTCTTCTCCCAGTCAAACCAAGTGGGTCTGAGGAAATGTCCACACTGTGAGAGAATTAAATAAGATTGTAGATGTTTAGCAACAGTATCTAGCATATAGTAAGCGATCAGTAAAAAGTATATCTTCATCTCTTGTATTCCAAGATGTCTGAAAATCTATGTTTGAATCACAGTCCTATTAGAGAACGAAACTTCATGGTTTTCAACCTTCATGCATCCAAGGGTTAGTACCAGAAGAGATTCTTAGATCCGCAGTCACAGACATGAATTTTACTTGGTTACCTATCAGGTACCCAGTGGATATTCATATGGATGAATAAGAGGTATTTAATTCTCTGTTATCAGAGAATTAAGCCCAACCTTTAAAGAAAAAATTATTCATGTCTGCATCTTAGCAGAGAAAATAATAAACAGTAGGTCATATGTTGGCTTCAAACTATTCTAGTGTCTATTCTGGAGAATAATAGAATCATAGGATTAGTAAAGTAAGTAATTATTTGTTTATGTATTTATTAATAAATAAAGCTCAGGAAAGAAGGTATAGCTCAGGGAAGTTAGTTGACTTCTACAAGATCAACAGTAAGTCTGTGACAGAGTCAGGTCTGGAACACAAGCTAGGATGGAAGCTACAGGAAATGTCCTACTATTGGTGGTCACCACACCAAGTAGAAGGGAAGAAGGGAAGTGGCTCAAAGTAGCAGGGAAAGTGAGTGAGATCGAGTATGGGAGATCTAGCACTTAGTTCTTTTCAGAGGAGCTTCAGAGCTGGAACCCACTGAAGTCTAATGCCACTATTGGGGTAACACCTCTGAATGAACTCTTTTGTGGCCAAATTTCTGGAAAGAAGACAGACTAGTCTGATTCTAATAAGATAATATCTCATATGCCATTTCAGAGAATTCAGACACCCTCAATTTCACCCTCCTATCCATCACCTGTGTCTAATCCATTTGATGGGCACACAATACTCTTGCTTAATTACCCTGCTCTTGAATCATGTTTACCATTGGCCAATCACTAATCTAAGGCTAAGTTTATAAGTATATTATTCTTTAAAAAACACTCACAGGAAACCTGTCAGGGATAAAGGCTCTATACTAGGCATTAAGAATTTGCTGAAAAGTGTTTAATCAAACTCCATTTTCCTTGTCCAATCAGAGAAGAGAGTGAGTTATTCAAAAGAAAACTAAAGCAACCAGAAGTAACTCTGTATAACCTAATCCCTCCAACCCTTATGTCATAAAGACAAATAAAAGCTCATAAAGAACCTTTGCTTGCTTCAGAACCTTATCAACTTGAGCCAGCTGATAGGGAAAGTAAGTCTTATGGCTGAACTCTTGAACCAGGAAAGGATCAGTCCAAAGTTTCTGTCAGGTGACGTGACCTACAAAAGTACTCCCAATCCTTGGCTTATCTTTATGACTGATAAATGATTGCCAGTTATTTGCTCTATAATATATGCTTGGAAACTGCGGTTCAATGGCTGAAACTGTCCCAAGAAAGAGGTTTCCTTCTGGAAAAAAAGAAAAAAATCATCCCCTACATGCAAGGTTTAATTAATGAAAAAGTTGCTTAGATGATCAAACTATGCCTTTTTTTTCCTGACCCAATGTTTTGTGGTTTGGGAGTTTTTTTTAACAAGCAAAAAAACCTTTAAACAGGAACCAGACTCTTTTATATTCTAATTTTTTCCCACTCCATTATGTTGTAGTAGTCCATAACAAGAATATGACCTCATCAGTTATTTACTCCCATTTTGGGTTTCATATGATGGGTTTCATTGGAAATCCCCATTATGGGGGAAATTTCTAAACCATAGAGCAGCTCATTTGTTGGGGGAGAGGGGGGTTCTTTATAAATGAAAAAAGTTGAATTGTAATGGAGGAACAGTGAGTGATTTCTCTAAAGGAGAAAGTTTCAGCCTCCCCCTGCTTATTAAGGAAAGCTAGGTTTGAGATCCTAAAACAGGACTGTGACCAAACTATGTGAGTATCTCGGGACCTTATGGACTAGTAGAGCTTAACAAGTTTATAAGTTTATTTTTTTAATATATTTTATTGATTTTTTACAGAGAGGAAGGAAGAGGGACAGAGAGTCAGAAACATCGATGAGAGAGAAACATCGATCAGCTGCCTCCTGCACACCTCCTACTGGGGATGTGCCCGCAACCACAGTACATGCCCTTGACCAGAATCGAACCTGGGACCTTTCAGTTCGCAGGCCGACGCTTTATCCACTGAGCCAAACCAGTTAGGGCACTAGTTTATAACTTTAGACACTGACAGCCAACGGTAGAGTTAATAACGATACTGAATGACCAAGCAATGTGCATAGACAAGTGTTCAAACAATTAGGGTAATACTCTCTTCCCAAGTGATTTATTGTCTGAAATACTGAATTAAATGGAGTACCTACTATATCTAACAAAAGCTGTTCAGTTAAATGCCAACCTCCCTGGCCCATTAGGAGAGGCAATAATTTATTCAAAATGTAGTTTAAGTATAAAGTTACTTTTCAGAAAGTAATCCTAGTAAAAGAAAAAAAAAGAGATAGAAGGCACAAGCAAGTAAATACTCTATCAGACAAAGTCACAGTAACTTTTTGTAATTGCAGAAATTATTCTAGTTTAAAAAAAATAATTTGAAAAAGCAATTATTTTCATAATCAAGAAACCACCACCAACAACAACAAAAGGTTGGGGGTTGTCTGTGGGTTTCTTTGCTTGTTCTAGTTCACTTTCCTAAGAGCCAGTTTAGCTTCTCAGACCTTGACCCAGTGATAGATTAAAGTCCTTAATCAGAGATATGGAATGCCTTATCTAGTGACACATGTTCTTTCTCTGTCCTTTGAAGCACATATTGTCCCTCCAAAGGAAGTTCACCATGAAACTAAATGACACAATCAACAAGTACCTCCTAGGAAGAGCCTCCTGAAGACCACACCACAGCACCAGTAAGTCATCCTTTTTAAGAACCAGCAAATTGTATGTGTAGTTACAGGAGAAAGCAGCCTTAGGTCATTCTCCCAAGGCCCTGATGTGGAAGGAACCACCTAGAACATACAAACAACCATTGTAATCCCTGGGACAGGGGTGTGGGCTGTGGGAAAGGAAGCTCAGCATGGAATTTGAGAGCTAGAATTGCAAGGTAAGAGATCTGAGAGCTTCCAGAGGAGTCTGGTTTGTTTGTTTTCCGTCTAGACTGAGTGTGCAGGGCTTAGGAAATATGCTTTAGGTTAGAAGACACCCTGGAGTTGTTTTCTTTCTCCACTTAGAGCCCCATGTAATAATGCACATGCCAGTGTCTGCACTCAAAGCTGACTTAACGTCTACAGAAATTCCCTCTCCTTCTCTGCGCATCCAATCAGTAACCAAGGATGACTGCCACTACTTTCATTGGGCCTCCTCCACATCTCCCACACTACTCATGTCTCAGTATTCCAGCTTATCTCAATATTTCTCACCTGGATTAGAGCAACTATATTCTAACTGCTCTCCCTGCTGCCAGCTCCTGGTTCAGATTCTATATTGTTTTCTACAGAGCAAGACTGGCCATAGGACTAGCCAGTTTAAAGTTCTTTAGTGGCTTCCAACAGTCTCCTGGTTAAAATTCAAACTATTCTGGTACAGACTCTGATAGAATAGTTACCTTGGTTCCTATCCTACCTTTGCTCTTTACCAATTTGATCTTCAATTCTCTGTCTATAAAATGGAATAAGAATAGTTCTTCTTCATAGGTGTGTTGTTAAACTTCAATGAGATACTTCTTTTAAAGAGCTTAGTACTGTGCCTAGTAAGCAGTCAAGCCCATAGTTGAAATCAAAGCTCATCATACCCTAGGTCTGTTTTTAATGGCTACATTGCACTACCTACCGTTATTCCACTTTATTTCCCAGAACACATGTCATAACAGTATTTCTGGTTCCACATACAGCGCCTTGCCACTTTCCTACTCAGAGAAAGAATCTACGTCCCATCCCCTTGAACTTGGACATGACCTGTTGACCACCTCAATTAATTAAGTCTGGCACAAGTTAGGCAATGTCATTTCCTAGGCTGGGTCAGAAGAGGCAATATACCTTCTGTCTGGCAATCTCGTGTGCAGCATGCACCTTAGGAGACCTAAGCTTCTGTATGAGAAGTTCAGCTGCATGAAGCTACCACGCTTGAGAGGCCATGAGAACAGATCACTGAAAGCTAGAAATGCATGAGGAGCCCCAGGTGCCCAGCCATCCTTCACACAGGCCCCTAGTCACTGCGTGGAGGGGAAAGGAGCTGACCCCACCCACCCTGCCCACATTGCAGATGGGTGAGCAAAATAAGTGATCGTGGTTATTGCAGCCACTAAGTTTTGTTATTGCCTAATGAGAACCCAGAACACCCACATAAACCTCCAAATCTATTTACTCACTTTCATTTCCCCTTGACAACACACCTTCCATGGCCTTCACATGTTTTTATGCTTAAAAATCGCCACCAGCACAAACATGCCCTCATGTAAAGCATTACTTTGCTTTCAAGAGCCATTGCAGGTAGTTCTTGTTGTGGCTTTTAGTCATTGTTACTCATTGTTGTAGTTTTAATTATCTTTCCCCAAATCTGGAAATGCGTGGCTAAGGACCCAAACTTCAAGTCAAAATGTTTGGGCTTAAGGTTTTTGTTGTTGTTCCCTACTTCCAAGCTGTGTAGGACTTTATCTCCCCAGACTTCTGTTCCTCCAAAGACAGTAATAGCCAAACCCTTATCTGAGTATTGTAGATATTCATTTATAACTCCTAGCAAAGTTCCTGGTATCTAATGAGTTCAATGCATGTTGCTGTTATTAGAGTGCTAATTTTATTGCATCACAATTATCAGCTTCCTTTTCTGAACAAGAACTGTGTATCCTCAATGCCTGGGGCCTAGGATATGCAAAAACAGTTTTGTTAAATGAATAAATAAAGAACAAGCAAACAAATGGATGGGTGAATGGGTGGGCAGGTATAATCTAGCTTCTCTTCAACTCCTATATCAAACATGTAGGAGAGGTAGGACAACAGAGATCTCCAGTCTTAATGGAAGCAGCTCTGGTGCTGGCTGCATACTTTTCTTTATGGCAGGTCCAGTTCTCTCTTTCCCCAGTAGTTCTATAATACCACAGCCATTGTTCCTGGCACCCCCTCATTCCCAAAGCCACGCAGGGAGCATCCTCGCTTGGCTGAGTAGCCCTTTTGCTCCCGACAATCCAAACCCTGTGGTGGGACTGTGAGGAGAGCTAGTGCCAAAACCCGATGGCTTCCTCTACAGATTCCTCTTCTCTTCTAACCACGCTATAGCATGCCATCTAGATGCCTGACCTTGCCAAGTAAAACCCAGTTAATCTTTTACAATGTCAGCCTTCTTTATGGACTCTAAGATATGGCAATGTCATATGGTGGCAGAGCTGTAGAAGGGACTCTGCTCTTACTGGCAAGCAACTTTATGCTGCACTAAGCAAATAATTTACCCTTCTTGCCTCATGCATGATATTTCCCCACTGATTTCTGCTCAATACAAGAGACATTATTAAATAGCAATATAACCTTGCTTAATAAGGTGAGAATAGATATTCTACACCTACTTTTTATTTTCATCATAGAATTTACATAAAATTCTATGTCACAGCATGGTGCATATTTACACATAAAATTCTCATTATAACAGCTAACAACCTATGGATATGATTGCTAAGTGCCAACAGTTGCCATTACAACACAATGTTCTACCACGATATCAATGTTCTTCTAGCACATATTAATTTCAATGTTAAAATAAAACAACATTGGGTTCCAACAACAAAGAGGTTCTGTCAGTGCCCTTTTATGCCCTCTTGCCTCAGCACAAAAAAAGTTTAAATATTTTTAAATGAGTAAAATCCAGAGTGTTGGCTGTACATACTCATAAATCATTTCACAAGAAAATATGAAGTTAATGTAATTATTGCTGTTACTCTTGTAGATCCCATGCTTCTCATAAGTGTAATCATTTCTGCATTCTTTCTCTGCTTGAAGGTCAGAGAATGCTGAGGGTTAGCAAGATTTCTGAGGCGTGGCACCACCTTCTCTGATTGGGCAGCAGCTCTCGAACGATGTGGGCCTTTTGCAGTTGACTCACCAGAGGGCAGCAGCTTTGCAGCTTGATGTCAGCCTGCAAGAATGTCAGACACTTCTCTCTGCCAGCTGCTGCACCGCCCTCCCCCCCACACCAACCCCAGCAGTAGCCCAGAATTAAGCAAAGCTGTTTGGGTTAGCCTCTGACCAGCCTCCTGGCTGGGCTTCTTGCTGTCCTGGTTACCAGCTCCAGTAAAAAATCCCCACCAGATCTCAGCAGGAACACTAAGCTCTTCCAACTATGTGTCTCTGGGGATACCCAATATAACTGACCAATAAAGGTTTGGATATTTGGGGGCGTGTGTATGGTTTTCTGGGTGCCCCTCTGCAACATATACACCACACACACACATTCTCTCTCTCTCTCTCTCTCTCTCTCTCTCTCTCTCTCCTCTCTCTCTCTCTCTCTCTATCTCTCTCTATATCTCTCTCTCTCTCTCATTCTGTAAAACACCAGAATGCATTAAGAAATATTTAAATAAGCACTAGCAAAATTTCTAAGTTCTAAATGGATTGTATGCTATTTGTTCTCCTGGTATTGGATCTGCCTCAGTTTCCCCCACATTTCTGCCTGTTCCAACTGAAGTCTCAGATGGGAGCTAAGACTATTCCTGGGGTCCTTTCTACTGTAACAGTCTATGATCCCATGAATTTAGACAACTGGGAGCTTTCTGAGAGGAATGGCTTCCTGATGCTCATTAGGCGTGGCAGAGAGGCCTGCCCCATAGTAGCTAGTCCTAGCTCTGTGAGGACCGATTTTTATATATTACTTAGTTTCCCCTCGCTTCTAGTCTCTTCAGCATCTGTTCTTTTAGCAGTTTTGGTTTAGTTTTAAATTTTAGTCTTAGTTTAGTCTCGGTTTTCACCTTTTAGATGGTTCGATTGGCCTTAGGCAACTGCAAGCAGTAAGCAGATGGTAGATTGTAGACCCAGTTAAGGTAATCATGGTCAAGGTCAAGCAAGCAATTAAACCAATATAGTTAAGCCAAGGTGAAATTGATGAATCACAGAAACTAAGTCTGCCCTAATTCAACTTGCTAAAGTGTGACGATGCCAGGGCTTAAGGCTGTTTGATTCTCTCGGTACACTAAGACTTAAGGCACAATTGCTCTTTCTGATCTTGCCCCTATTCTGTTTCTTTATCCTGATGATTGGTAGCAGCCTCACCTCATTCTGTCTGAGTCTCCTTCAGGATTCTTCAGTTTGGTTACTCCAGTTTGTAGTAGGCTAAATTGTGGCCTTAAAAAGATATGCCCATGTCTTCATCCCCAGAACCTGGGAATGTGGCCTTATTTGGAAAAAATTAAGGATCTGGAAATGAGATCATTGTGGATGACCCAGGTGAGCCCTAAGTCCAATAAGTTTCCTTATAAGAAACACAGAGAGGAGGGACGCAGGGAGAAGAGGACAAGGCCATATAGAGACGGAGACAGAAGTGGAGTGATGTCACCACAAGCCAAGAAACCCTGGGAGCCATCAGAAGCTGGGAAGGGTGAGGAATGGGTTCTCCTCTAGATTCTCTGCTGACAGCACATCTCCTACCAACATTTTCATGTTAGACTTCCTGCTCAGAACTATGAATACGTTTCTGTTGTTTTAAAGGAACCAGTGTTAGTAATTTATTAAGGTAGCCATTGAAAACTGATACAGTTACAAGCTCAAATGCCTTATAGTTTCAAGGAACCCAATGGAAACAAACCAGAAACTACGTACACTTTTAAATAGGTAACAAGAGAGTTACTCATCTTCTGCAGCAGTTCTCAACCTTTGGGTCGCGACCCCTTTGGCGGTCGAACGACCCTTTCACAGGAGTCGTCTAAGACCATCCTGCATATCAGATATTTACATAACGATTCATAACAGTAGCAACATTACAGTTATGAAGTAGCAACGAAAATAATTTTATGGTTGGGGGTCACAACATGAGGAACTGTATTTAAAGGGCCCAGAAGGTTGAGAACCACTGCCTTATAGGAATCATACAGTAATGAACTGAGCAAACAATCTAGATAGGGAAATTCTGGATTTAGCATCTCATATTATTTTTCATTCCTAAAACCGGTCATTTCCATGGCTGGCAAACAACAGAAAGTGCAAGTGGTCTGAAGCAAATGAGAGAACAAATGTCCTAACCAAAGAAGTATCCATCAACCAGACCAATAATTGTTACCATGTGAAAACAAGCCCAGCATGGCCACATCTTCCCACTTTTATTGGATCTTTACTTAAAGTCTCCTGCATTTTAAGTGTTGGCTCAGAGAACAACCAGGCAAACTGCACTCTGTAGGCCCAATCAAATGTGTTTGAGAGCTGAATTGTAACCACAAGTGGCCAGTTGCAGTGTCTGGAGCCAACTGACCCTTCTAACAGTATCTAAGGTATGTGCCACGGAGAGTTCATGAAACAACCAAGAGCAGAACCTTGTTTCCTTGTTTTCCACCTACTTAACCTGCTCTGCCAGCCCAGGATGCTTTCACTCAAAATCCCTCCCTCCCTGGTGTAGGCAGCGAGAAACCGTTTGTTAGGACCTGAGTTAGTGTGCCTGCCTCTTCCTTTTCAGCCTCTCCTCTTCGTTTCTCTAAGGCAACTTAATTTAGACCCTGACCATTTAGTATCTAGAAGGGGTGTGTGTGTGTGTGTGTGTGTGTGTGTGTGTGTGTGTGTGTGTGTGTTGAAGAGGTCTAATGGTGGAGACTTTGCAATGCAATGTGTGATGACTTCAGAAGGAAAGATGAAAGAAGACAAAATATTCACTAGGGAGAATTAAAACCCAAAGGCTTTTTTGCTGTGTTTATTTTACAGCAGAGCACTAAAATATATTCTACCGAAAGGATTGGTATTTAAGTCAGATAAAACCTAAGATATAAAACTGAGACATAATTTGATATTGACATAGCTTCCGTATTTAGTTTGTTAAAGGTTGCTACTTCTGTGCTCTTTTACCTCATCTCCAGAGCCACCTGCTTCCCATCTTCAGACAGTGTGTCCTGTGGCAGACCACAAGGTAAGACACCGTTCAACGAGACTGAATCTTTCGGTCTGTCTGTGAGGGCAACTAGGAAGACAGTGATGAGATCTATAACTCTTGGTTGAGTCTGCAGTGAGGAAAGAAAGTTGCAATCAGCTTTCATAAATGATCTCATGGAAGAACTCTGACAATAGCTAGGGTAGGAATGGGGATTGACTAAATAGGGAATGAGGGATCTTATTGAGGAAAATGTCCTAAAACTATTGTGATAATGGTAACACCACTCAGTAAATTTATTAGAAATCAGTGGGTCAAGCACTTAAAATGGGTGAGTTTATGGTATGGAAAGTGTGCCTCAAAGTTGTTTTAAAAATTAAAGTTAATCATTAAAAGAATAAAACTAGACCCATAACACATTCTCTCTCTCTTATCCCATAAACAGTAGTCAAAAAATTTGTCAACTGTTCATATAAAATACCATTTTTTAATCTTTTTACATATTTCAAGTGTCTAATACCTAATTCAAACATAACATGTACAAAATAGAACACAATGAAAAATTTTCCTCCCTCTACACTCCCTTAGGCACCCAATGCCCTTCCCTGAAAACAATGTTGTCAGTTTCTTGTGTATCATTCTAGAGACATTTTATGCATCTCCAGAATGGTACCTGTGTGTATGCATTCTATCCCCCCAACCACACACACCTTTTTCTCTTTAACTTGTAACATATTATACACAGTGTTCTGCGATCTTCTTTTACTTAGTAATCTATATCATATCAGAATTCAAATAGTGCTCAGATCTTTTTATCTTTACTGTCCCACCGCCAGAGAACTCATTGGATCCTAAGTACCTCTTGCCTGGACCATTTTGTGTAATTTGAGATGCCATCTGTTATAAGATTCACTGGTCTTTGGGGGCCTTTAAGAGAGAAAACTGTTGCCTATTAAATTATTATAACATGCCATTGATTGTAAGATGCAGCCTAATTTCATTTAAAAAAACAACAACACTAATGCTAAACAGTGCATTTATGTGTACAAAGATATAAACAATAAGTATGACCTTGTCCCGGCCAGTTCTCCAACCTCAAACCTCGCTTCCTTTTAATTCAGTTTCCTGCCAGTCATTTTTCTAAACTCTAGGTTTAACCTTTTCATTCCTCTACTTTAAATCCTTTATGGTCTCCCATTGCTACCAGATGAAGTCCAAATAACTTAGTGTGATCACGAGATCCTGCCCTTTTCTGGCCTCCTTCCTCTCCACTAACCTATGCTCTAGACATGCCCAACTATTGACTATTTCTCAAAATTGTAGTGCTCTTTCAAAACCTTCTGCTTTTGTACATGTTGTTCCCTCTGCCTAGAATACACTTGACCTCTTTCTTCCTAGCTAAATACCATTTGTTCTCCAAGACTCATCTCTGGGAAAACTGCCATGAACTTCCCAAGTTCAGTGAAATATCCTCTCTCTACTGCCACATTAAGAAGTGCTTAATTCCATCAAAAGCACTTCTTGTCTCATATTCGGCTCGCATTTCCTTGCCTGTCCTCACTACTCTTATTTGCATCACAAGGGTTTGCCAGGGTGCCTCGTTTATGGTAAGCATTCAGTAAGTGTTTATTGAAGAAATGTGTACTTTGGCCCTGGATGTAATCTGCAGTTATGGAGGTGTGGTCAGCTCGGTGTAGGGGGAAGTACACTAGGTCTGAAGTCAGGATGCCAGCTATGGGCTCTGACACCTCTGCCCCTCTGGTCTCAGTTTGGTCAGTTAATGTTTCCAAGACTAGGTTCCCTCACTTGAAAACATGGGCAGTGGTACCTGCCTGCCTACAGGGCTGCAGGGATTCAACGAGGGGAGCGTCCGAAGTAACGCATGGAGACGGTGCTCTGAACAAGGCGGCTTCCATCAGAGTGGCTGGGACACCCTACGCTGGTGAGCAGGGTTCATGTGCCCTGGGAAAACAGACACCACTGACACATGCTGTAATACCAAGTAGACTTTGGTTTCCTGTTTTCATTTCAGTTTTCACATTTGAGAAATCAAGTTGATGGGGGGTGGGGGGGGAACCACACATATACACTCAATTCTTGCTCATACCATTACCCCCAAATTCTGTAGGCAATCAATCACCTTTAATGGTTTCTTTTAGACCCTTCCCATGTTATATATTTTTTTAAATATATTTTATTGATTTTTCACAGAGAGGAAGGAAGAGGGATAGAGAGTTAGAAACATCAATGAGAGAGGAACATCAATCAGCTGCCTCCTACACACCTCCCACTGGGGATGTGCCTGCAACCAAGGCACATGCCCTTGGCCAGAATCGAACCTGGGACCCTTCAGTCCACAGGCTGACGCTCTATCCACTGAGCCAAACCGGTTAGGGCCCCATGTTATATTTTTAACACAAACACAAGTACATAAATACATATCTCATTCCCTTTTTTACACAACATGTACAATATTTTTTTCATGGTATATCAATATTCGTATTTCTGAATATCACTTTTTTCAGGGGCTTTGTGACCTTCTGAGTTTGCCCATAAGAATTCCATTCAAGTAGACAAGGATGTGGAAAGAGGTTTTAGTTACTGCTTCTCATCACAACTCTGAGCTCTCAGGAAAGGTAAAAGCTTTGACCCATAGCCCCAGCTCCTTCTTCAGGGAACCACAGAGAAACAGCATCACTAAAACAATGAAAGACCTAAAAGTCACAGCAAGCCACAGGGGAAGAAATCTGCACTGGGGCAGAGGGCAGTGCAGATCTCAGCAGCATGAAGTCAGAAGAATGCTGCAAACAGCTCCAGCACACAGACTCGGAAGTCTTCAGCACCACTGTCTCCTGGATGTTTTCACCATATGAGTGAGACGCTTCCTAGTGAGCCCTCCCATTTAAAAGAAAAGATTGTTTTCAAAGTTGCACACAGGTTCTATTTAGGGGCTGCTCAGGTATAGAACAAGATCTGCTTTTTTAAAAATACTAATGTATTGGGCTAGTATTTAAAAAGATTAACCATCGTATGTGCTGGCAGAGTTGCAGGAAAACTGAAATTTTCATTACTGTAGGTGGGTGGGAAGGCAAAGGAAATGACCATTTTAGATCACAGTTCCACATGTCTTACAATGTAAACCATTCACCTAAACAACAGCAGTTTGATTAGTAAAACATACATCTAGATAATGAACTGAACACAATATGCCCAGCAGAATTCTCTATAATACCCCAAACCTGGAAATAACCAAAATCATAGACACATAATTAAAGTAGTAATTCACAGTACACAATCCTACTCGGCAATGAAACAATGATCTATTCACATAAGCATTTGTGTTGAATCTCAAAATAACAATGTAGTGTGAAGGAAACCAGTATTTGTTAAAGACTGCACACCTTCTAGTGCATATCAAATCATGAAAAACTGGAGATCCCTCGGCGTGGCCCGTGGGGATTGGGCGGAAACTGGCAGTCCAAAGCCGCCTGCCGCTCCCACTCACCCGGGCCCCGCTGCGCATGCCGCGGGCTGGCACCCGGTCAGTCCTGAAGATCTGCTTTTTTTAAGGCTTGTCTTTAGACATGAACATTTCCTTATGTGTTCAGAAATCAAGAGTTGGTAGTATAAGGAGGTAGGTGGGGCTTTATAAATAGCTATTATTCTTTCTCTTTTGTTGATCACATAAATGATAAAGTAACAAATACAAGGCTATTAAAAGCTTGTTGAAATGCCCGGTCGACGTGGCTCAGTGGTTTAGCATAGACCTATGAAACAGGAGGTCACAAGTTCAATTCCTGATCAGGGCACATGCCCCAGTTGTGGGTTCAATCCCCAGTAGGGGACATGCAGGAGGCAGTCATCAGTGATTCTTTCTCATCATTGTTGTTTCTATCTCTCTCTCCCGCTCCCTTCCTCTCTCTGAAATCAATAAAAAATATTTTTTTAAAATTTGGTAAAATGTGGATATTCAAATAATATACCTTTGTTTTATTGGCAAGTTTAATCATGACCCAGGTTGCCCATGTCCTCTCCCCACTTCTCTGATTTTTGCCTCAGGCACCCATTACTGGAGTTGGTGGTCTGAAGTTCTTAAAACTCTCTCATATGAATGGCCCCAGTGTAATCACTATGCTCCCCACTCCCAAATTCCTGACTGCCCATTGCCTTTACCGAAGATCTCCACATGGACAGGAAAACAGACTAATTAGGAGAAGTCTAATGAGTCAGTTGGCACAAATAGCAGATTCACCATCTTACGCCCAGGAAATTACTGTCACTCTATCTCCATTAGTCATGGGTACTTACTGCAGAAAAGTTAGCAGGAAAATTAGAATGGCCTGGAAAGGAGAACAGAAACTCCTAATGGTCTTCATGGTGTGTTTCTAATCACAAAAGCCCAGAGACACGAAGGCCTCCGTCCGCTTTCTATACCATACCAGCCACAAACACTGCAAAACCAGCAACAAAGAAAAATAAGTGCAGGTAGCTATGGGAACGAGTAAACAAAGGCACGGAATCCAACACAGCAGGGGGGACAAGGACCATTAATAAGGCAATCAAGTGGAACCCATTAAGAGCTTATTTCTCAACTCACTATAAAGATATTGACACAATATATTTATTTGGTATCTGAGCCAGAATAAGAGTATAGACTGATGAATGAGCTGGAGATGACGAGGTGGAGAAGAGCAGTGGGATTAAGACATGCAAAAGCACTAAATCTCTACATCATGAAGTAACAGGGCAATTTTATAACCCCAGATAGTTCTATGTGAGTGGATACGGAGACAGGGCCAGCGTCATGGTAAGACCAGGTGAGGCTGGAGAAATGGCCAGAGCCAAATGATGAAGGACTTTGTGAGGTCATGCTATGAATTTTAGATTTTATGTGAAAGGCCCTCGTGGGAGCCACTGCAGGATTTTAAACAGGGAATAACAGGAGCATATTTAAGTTGTAGGAGGGGACTCATATATGTAGATAATGGATTTGAGTGCTGTTTCCATAGCGCCTACCATACTATACTGTAATAGGCATCCATTTGTCCTGTCCACACACTAAACTGTAACCTAATGAGGACAGCATGGCTGCTTTCTCATTATATCTAGTGTATGCATAGCACATATTTA